TCCCCAAAACCCCAAAACCCCATAATGCAAATATAAATAAAGATTAAAATAAATTTATTAATAAAATTTAATATTATATTATGAAGTAACTTGAAATATTTGGTTCATTCATTTTTATATGTACTTAACACTAAGTCTGACTAAATTCTTGTCTATGTAGTACTGAGGTCTTATTTATAGTATGACTAATATAAATCTCAAAATATATTGCAGCAACAACTGCAACTACGTGGATCATCTTAAAAATGCTTCTCATGTATATCAATCTATCCTTAGTTACCTTAAATTATCATTTCTTTATTCTAGATTTGCAATTCATTAACTTTCAAGTATGCTTTTTATTTTTTACAATTTTCAACTTAATCATTCTACGCTTTGCATTATTTATTCATCAACTTTTAATCTTCACTTTAATTTTTAGTCTATTGCTGTTAAAAATATCTGTTATTTTCATGGTTAACTCCACCTTATTTCTATTTGTTGTCATTCTAATTGATTTTTACACTTTTGTCTATCTTACATATATTCTATTGATACCAATCACTTTAATTTTAATTTATATTTTGAGTATTCTATTGCTGAAGAGTCTGATAGCTAAGTTGCTTTTAATACTAAAATCTTCCATCTTCTAATTATTAATTCATATCATTGTGATAGCTATCAACTTAACATTATTCTTCTTCATTTGAAATCAGTGCATAAGCATAATCACATTTTCCATCATTTAAGTATTTCTCATTTTTATTTTCTTAATTATGTATTTTCTCTATTGCCTCTAATTCAATTTGATAAGATCCTTAAATAGCTTCATTTATTGCATTATAATCAATGTTTGTAGAGAACTTATCGGATTAAGTTAATCTTAGATATTCTAGTATTTTAATTTAATTGATAATCTCTCAAGAACTTTCATCTGGCACATTTTTACTATTTTAATTCAAATTTTACTTTAATTCTCTTATTTTATTTAAGAGATCGCTAGATAATAAAGTATTTTCATTGCTATTTTAGCAATAGCTAATCCAAGGCAGACATTCTGGATCTTAAAGATATAAAATAGTATACAAGGTTGAAATCAAGTCATCTCCTTAGCAAGAATATTATTACTACATTACAAAAATTGATTAAGTCAATGGAGTTCCTAAAGGAGTCCATAATACCTCTTTTTATAAATTACTTATACTAAATTCATTGGCACATCCAAAATCTATAAGAAACACCTCATTTTCATTTACCATGAAATTATCTGGTTTTATATCTCAATGAACGAAACCCAGTTAGTGTAATTCGCTAACTTGAGTAATCAGCTGCATAGTCATCAAAGCTTTGCCTCAGATAGCATTAGATGAGTTTTATAATTCTATAAAGTAGTCAAATAATGATTGCCCAAGATATTCATATACAAGATAATAAACCTAGTATTCTTTGTCCTCAGTCTCTAGTACTCCACTGTCTATTAAGTTTGGAACATTGAGCCTACCTTTATTATTTTTTTATTTTATTTTTCTCCACATATTTTTTTCATTTAATAATGAGCTTGAAATTCCGAATTTTTCCAATTTAATAGCATATGGGATTTCACCTTTCATATATTTGCAAACTATGCCATAAGCGCCTGACCCTATTATTGAATCAAAGGTGTATGTTTTGAATTTCCTTGGAGGATTTAGCTAATGCATATTTTATTTTAATCAAAATTATTATAGAATTTTTATTTTTGATCAATTTTATGTTGATGCCCCTGTGTTAATTAATTGTACTTCTAGGGGTTTTGGGGTTTTGGGG